TTGGTAGTTATCTATTGTAAATAGACTAGGTTAATAGTGTGCAAAATTTTTTATTTCTTGGTAAAAGAAGGTACATATATAGTTAGCGCCTCCTCTGGAACTAACTTTTGCCTACAACAAAGTTCAGGAACCTGAATTGAGAGTCTGGAGATGTTTGTCAACCCGTACCACCAGGTTTGTTAAGGTACAAAAGGTCAAAAGAGCAAAGGTGAAGAAGGTCAAAAGAGCAAATGCGAAAAAGGTTAAAAGAGTGAAAGCGAAGAAGGTCAAAAGAATGAAGGAGAAGATCAAAAGAGCTGAAGGCGAAGAAGGTCAAAGAACAAAAGAGAAGATCAAAAAAGCGAAGGCGAAGAAGGTTAAAAGAACGAAAGAGAAGATCAAAAGAGCAAAGGCGAAGAAAGTCTAAAGAACGAAGAAGAAGGTCAAAAGAGTGAAGGCGAAGAAGGTCAAAAGAGCGAAGGTAAAGAAGGTCAAAAGAACGAAGAAGAAGATCAAAAGAGCGAAGGCGAAGAGGGTTAAAAGAATGAAGAATAAGGTCAAAAAAGCAAAGGCGAAGAAGGTCAAAAGAGTGAAGGCAAAGAAGGTCAAAAGAACGAAGAAGAAGGTCAAAAGAGCAAAGAAGAAGATCAAAAGAGCAAAGGCGAAGAAGTCAAAAGAACGAAGAAGATCAAAAGAGTGAAGGTGAGACTTTGTAATTAATGAAAATTCACATAATATCTTCATTAATTATATATATTAATCTATTATTTGTATAAAATTAGCTTATAAATTGAATATATAACAATAAAACTTAATCAATTATATATATTAATAATGGTAAAAAAGATCAAGAGAGTGAAGGTGAAAAAAGCCAAAAGAGCAAAGGCGAAAATGGTCAAAAGGGTGGTGTAAAAGGTCAACAAATCTATACTTCCAGAGTTGTCAATCCAGTAATTCTCCCGATTAGCATTAGAGGTAATCAGGAGTTTCCATAAACTTTGTGAAATAAAAAGATACACACCTTTTCTTTAATTTCGAGAAAGTTATTCGGGTCCAACTCATTTAGTTCTTTTAAAAATCTCTTGTACCAATTATTGTCCATTCGATTCCAATTAATATTTGTAGAAGGTAACGAGGCAACAATAACATCACGATGAAGGGCCAAAAATTTGTAGTATGAATATTTTTCCTGGTGTCTTTTCAACTTCTTCAAGTAGGTTCTAATAGCTATAAATTATAAAGTTTGTTAAAAACTAAATAATAAATCTTCGACTTCTAAAATTAATTTTATCATCATGTCCAGAAAAGTTTTCATTTAATTCGTTTGACTCGGTTGACTCAGTTGACTCATTCTCATGAATATATTTTCATTTTTCCATATAAGAAAAATTATTTTATGACAAATATAATGTGATAATGTGTATTAAACGTAAGCAGTATGACTTAATTAGATATCCTTATCAGTTATACATGTAAACAAGAAGAGAGTTTATTTACAAGTGTTTGGTTTATGTAGTGTTGGTATGTATATATAGGTGATTATTTTTGAATCCAGACCAAATTGTTATTACGTCATATATATAAAATTGGTCAGAGTTCAAAAATAATTACTTATATATATAAGTTTTAATGGTGAAGTAACAACTTATATTAATTTCATTATTTAAATTTCACGTTCTTAGTTAGTATTTACATCAAGTAGGATGTTACTTTGTCAAGAGGTTTTTTGTTGAAAGTTTCATGTTCGAGATACTAACAAAAAATCGCATTACAAAAGTTTATTTCCTTATTAAAGTTTCACATACAGAGAATAAACTTTTGTAATACTCTGAAAACCTTGAAAATCATGCCAGAAAAGGTTAGCGGTTTTGTGCCTGTAAGGGGTTTAAGTCTTAGTTGGTAATAATTGTGCCGAATTTGCAGGATCCACAGTTAAATAGAGTATTTTATTGGTCAAATTTATATTACTATAAAGCACTGCATACAGTACATATAGGCTAACTTTCTCATGATTGGTCAATTTTATTCAATTAAATTTATACAGTTTAGAGTACTTTTACCCCCTAACATAGTAAATTTTTTTTTAAAAAATGTAAACCCATTTATAATATAACAGAAGACTCTTCATGAACGAAGCTTTAAGTATCTTATGTATCTCTGGGATTCACTTTATCCAAGTTACCTCACTTAGAGACGATTGTTAAGCTAGGAAAATGGTAATGTACAATAAATATAAGCATTTAGGTTCCTAATTAACTTGCAAAAGATGAGTTAATTAGTTTGAAAAACAAGCTTGGAAGTAATAATAACTTCGTAGCAATATATATTAAAAACAAATTACAAACACTCGAAGTTTTACTTAGATATGAAGACATCATTTGGTAAGTAGTTTTATATTTCGGGATCTTGAACTTATAAGTTCAAAGTTGAG